TGACATCATCAGATAAGGGAGTCAATGCTTTGCTTGTAGTATCTTCTTCTCCTTCATCAAGATAGTCTCTGATATCAAAAGAGAAAAGATCGGCTAGGACCTGTGGCGATAATATGAAAGCGGTTAGAAACTAAACAATTGTAGCCGATTTGTATGCTTACTAGGAGACACTTACTAGGATAGCAGGAACGGCTGGTTGTTCTTCTTCCTCGACATGATGACTTCCTGCGGCTGAAGGGGTCTGGTCACTTGATGATTGTTGAGCCGAGGGAGAAGGAGGAGGTGAAGGCTGAAAAGAAAGCAAGCGTTAAGTAGAGTCGGCCAAAATTAGCTGTTGAACAGTTTAAATTATCTTACTGGTGGGGCTGGTTTAGATGTTGTTGCAGCCGATTTCTTTTTCACTGCAGTCTTCTTTTTCTGCAATTATAAGACTTGGGAATAATCGGCTATAAGGTAAAAGGGTTTCGAAAAGAATTAATGAAGAACACTTACCCTTGAGAGGTGGACTGGGGCAGATGGAGTTGGAAGGGTTTGCTTAGGTGAAGCCGATGGTGTCCTTTCAGCATCGCTTACTTCGGCTGCGGCTTGATCGACCTCATCTCCAATTGCTTCTTCATCTAAGGCTTGTTCGATAGATGGATCCAGGTCAGGCAGATCATCGGCTGGCTTGTCATCTGGTTTGGCTCTCTTGACTCTGGTCTTTTTCTTTGGAGCCAGGATTGAGGTGCTTATGGTTGAAGCTCTAGTCTTCCTTTTTTGGCCTGCATCGGCTGGTTCTCTAGTGAGGCCATGGAGGAGAGTTGATGTCTTGGGGGTATGGTAGCCGATGACAGGGGGAGATAATCCACCTCCGTTTGGAATCAAGCCTGCAGCATATTCGATATCTTTACCGCTGTTACTTTGATGAGGGGGGGAAGATTCTGTTGTCTGCAAAGTGGGGAAAAGAGATTGGTTAAGTAATAAATTGATCGATTGACCATACAAACTTGATAATAACAATATTTACCTAGGGTATGACGTCAGGGAAAAGATCTGTCATATACATCGTGGCCGATTGGTGAAACAGATGTAGCTTCCATTCACCCCACCATCTGTCGAAGTTCTTGCTTCTGAAACCGGCTAACTCAATGTTCTCGATGCTGCCCAGAGGAGGTCCTAGTAGATTGAGTAGCCGATCCATCATTAGAGCAGATGTGATTTGGCCCCGGCATTGAATCTTGTCGGCGAAGAACAAGCCGATTGGGAGTTGGCCTAATCCAAGTTGCCTGGCTGAGCTCATTGGGTGATAAAATTCATAGGACACTTGGATGTTTCTTCCTTGATGGATGCCAACGGGAAGGATGCAAGGGCTGATTGCGGCTATAAGGACTTCTCTGGATTTCTGGAATTTCTCATGATTTATGTCTTCGAATCTGAAGTCTGATGGAAGTTCAAGGTCTTTTGAGTCTTCATATGGGAACCAGATTCGAGCATCTTTCTTGAAACCTTCATAGAAGCTACAGAACCAGTCCTTGAGCGGTTCAGCCGATAGCTTTGCTCCAGCATCGGTTGGTATGGATGCATATTCCCCATATGATGTGCACCTGCGATGGGTGCGTTCTTCTCCATCGTCACCCACAATCGGCTCTGGCAGTGGGAACTCAGCTTCTGTCACGGGAGGCCGATTGACAACCTTCATAACCATCAGGTTTAACCAAGTCTGCAATAACCACTAGGGTCCACCTGCTCCAACTGCCGAGCTGACGGCAATTCTAGCCGATGCATTGTTTAACATCTGGTACAGGTAGCCGAGAAGAATTTTTCCCAAAGGGAATTCTTTCTTTGATTCCAGGGCTTCGGCTACAAATTGCCAGTTGGTTGTGGGGCCACAACTGGATCCACAGAAGAGGAATTTTTCTAGCCACATGAGCAAAAAGGCTACATGCTCTCGGGGGGTGACAGATCCTTGACCCATGTATGCTGCTACATAGCCGGACCAACCACCTATGCTCTTGGTCTTGAAATCGAATTGGTTACGGGTGTTCATGCTCATGGGGTTGGCCGATGAAGTTACATCTAGTCCGGTGATCATGGTGATATCGATTAGGGTTGGAGTCATCGGCCCTTGGTTGAACAGGAAGGCATTGATGGTGTTTGACCAAAAATAAGTGGCGGCAGCCATTAAAGGTTCGTCTTTGGCAGAATTGGCTATGGTTAAGGCGAGTGCTTGGCCGATTCCAATCTCATCCCAATGGACTTTCTTGCTAGCCGATACACGCTGATACCAAGTGGACCAACTCCTGTCGGGTGAAAGTTTTTCTAGAGATGGCCAGGACTTAAAGGTGTTCTTCCAATGACCTAGGTTGGGGTTATCTAGCCTGAAGGGGATCCGGTTGGTTTCACCAGTAATGAAATCGGTGGGGTCGAGGTTGCCGATTGGGCCGAGGAAATAATGGTTTTGGTGTGAAAGACTGGGAATTGCGACTTGATGAGAAAGGTGCTGCAAATCCAGAAGCAATGGAGGAGAGAGAAGCGGCATAAGATGGAAGAAAATCGATCTATTGCTGAGAAAAGAAGGATTTAGCCGATAGGAACTTACCTCAGCATACTCGGCTATTGGCGCACCCGATGGGCTGGCGGAAGAAGACATGACCGCGGGCGGAGATCTTGTCGAGAGAGGAATCGCCGGGGAGTCGCTTTTGCGTCGAACAGATCGCCGGAGAAGAAAGGGGATTGAGATTGCTTAAGCGGTGGAAACGGAAGTTACGATGTGAGGTTTCTCGGGGGTGACGGTTAAATATTTAAAGCACGGCGGTAACGGTCGGAAAACGGTAAAGTGCAAAACTTACTCGGAGTCGGCTTACAGCAAATCCGGAACATTATCGAATATCCCGGACTTGGGGGGCATGTGTTAACAACCAAATTTGGTAAGTATTCGTATCAGGAAAGGGGATTTTGTCAAAGAAGAGTTGGAGGCGGAGATCGAGTTTTGGAACAGAGCAAGAATCAGCTAGAGTCTGGATCGGCTACGGCTAGAATCGGCTAAGGTTGAGTTAGGCTAAATAAGCTGGTATAGCCGATTCTGACAATACAACTTGTGCGCGACGTCGGGCTCGGGTTGATGTGCTTCAAAATGATTGCCACGCATGGATAGAGTCCTGGGAAGGCAATTGTATCTATTAATTAGGATTATTTATGTAAATTCCTTATAGATAAGTGTGGGCAAGAATCTGCCGCAAAGACTTGTGATATTTTAGAGTTTGTTAGAGATAATGGTCGTGGCCGGTGCGGGCATATCTTGTAATCCTCGGGTATAAATAGACCCCGAGCCCTATGTAATTTGAACACACACATTCAATACAATTCCGGCGCATCGCCACCTTTTGTTTTAGTTTTATTTCGACGAGTTCTTGCTTTTGGGTTGAGCTGCATCGGTTTCGATCTTCAACAAGAGGTAAAACTTGTTATGACAAATTATGTTCTTAGGGATTAGTGCTTACATCTTCATGACACTCTAATCTCATTTATATAATTCGCCGAGTTATCATATATCTTACATAATCTTCAATAATATCTCTATCTAATCTATTATCAGCTAACATTTGCTTGCACAAGACAGCCGATTAGGTTAGATCTCGACGTTGATTTAGATTATATAAGATATCTACCATTCTATGAATCTTCTAGCGGCTTGATTGTCTAGATATTGTTCTTCTTTTCATACTTAATGCTGCATCAATTGAGTTTGATCTATTAAGTCGTGCTTAGAATATTGATCTCTAGCCTGCTATCTAGTTGTTGATTAGGATAGTGTCGGAGTTTCAGCCGATCGTATCTAATTTAATCGTATTTATTCTATTTGCTTCACTGATATGTTAAATCGACCCTTTATATTGAGACATTGCTATATTCAAATGTGTTAAACTATCGTTCAATATGTCACTACTGGTTCAACGTCTTAATACAAAGTAGTATCGGAATATTAGCCGATACATGCTAGATCTATCTGATCGGCTATGCTATGAACATATATAGCCCTGTTATGAGTGTATATTTCGATCTGAGTGATTTATACTGTCTCGGTATGATAACCGATCTATCCCAATCACTCGATTTAAATAAACATCAATATAAGGATTATATATGTTAATATCTACAGCCGATCAAGTAGGTTTAGTTTTTCTTTACTTATTCATGATTGCCGATCGATATGTCATCGGCATCTGGCCGATCGGCTATCATTTATAGACTTAACCGCGGTTCCTTTGTCTTTATTTCTTGTTGATTATAGGATCAAATCAACTGGCTCGCTCATACATCCGAAGGCGAGTTTTGGACCTGCACTGGAGTTAAGTAGATCTCCCAGGCCTCGTGTTTTGTCAACACGCTTTTGGCACGCCTGGTGGGACCTGATCAGAAGTCAGACGTCAGATCTTCCTCATGGCCGAGAAAGCAGCGCCACCAAGCACAGGCTCCGTTAAAGTCAGATCTTCCTCATGGCCGAGAAATATTACTTTTAAGAATGATAGGTATCACCGGTTGATATGCCATCCTTATAAGTTTCTCGAAACGCTGCCTACGATACATGCCCTCACATTATCTTCCTATACTAGGCATAAATGTGGGAAAGTATTTAAGTAGTACTGTTATTTTCTCGTGTAATTCTGAAGTCGCTGGAAGAGAATATTTACTATACCAAGACTAAATTTAACGGCGATATTTTTCTGAAGTATTAAATCGATCGTTAATGTAATTTGATATATATTAGTATTAGTAATAGTGCGTAGCCTGTCGGTGATGCGAAGATCAGCTTAGCTCATGATGTAGTCTAAAGGCTAAAGTCCTGGCGTACAAAATTAGTCCTGGCTCTTTCTGTAAACTAATCGATGGGATTAGCGCACATGTGCATGGGATTTAACTACTGATCAATGCAGGTCAACCCTATAAAGTCCGATAAAAAGACAAAGGATGGATTAAACTAAGGTTGTGCGTTGAAACTCGTCTGAAAAGAAGATGGCACTGAAACTATATGTATCACTGATGCATCGTTGGCTGGGTAGCTAGCTAACTTAGATGCTCACTCGCTAAGTATAGCTTAGTAAGAGACTCACAGTGCACAGTATATATCTAATTGAGTAGTGGATTATTGGAGAGGAGATCGATCTTCTACAAGCTAAGCTAAGCTAGCTAATTAAGCTAGAGTACAAAACGAGAGAGAGATCGATATGAAGGGGAGGCACGAGCGTATCAAGAAGGGTTGGAGCGGATCAGCGGCGGTGTGGCTTCTGTTAGTGCCTCTCTTCGTTCTCATCGTCCTCAAGACCGATTTCCTTCCCCAGGTTGCTCGCCGTAAGTTAAATTGTCTCACGCCCATTGCAAAATAGAAATCCAATAGTTTCGATCAGAGACTGTTTTGCGTCTTGTTCTGCACGCTCACTCTTGGTCTTAATTTTGCGTTTTAGTTAATTAATTACTTTCGTATTTTTAATTTGTATTCTTTTTGGCTGTTTACTCGATCTCGAATTCTCTTGTAAAGGTTGGTGTTTTAAATCTGACGTCTCGCATTATTGTCCATCCATTTCGTGTTGGATGTATCACCCAGTGAATTCTTTCATCTTCAGACCCATAATGTCCCTTGACTGGATAAACCCTTCTTACACTTCAGTTTATGTAGTGGAATTGAATTTTAAAACAGATATGAACTTTTACACCTTAAAAATATACGCACTCATTTCTTGTATACCATCCAAGTGGCCACATTTCAATCAGAAACATGTATATCAAAAGTTAAATTCAATCTTCATATATGAAAACACATAGAAGACAATTCACAGTAGAATAACAAACTAAAAACCAAATTAATAAAGATGTAATAATCGTGTGCAATTTCATATGTAATAATCATGTGTAATTTCATTTATAGTCCAATAATTTAGTTGTTTTTTATGTACATTGAATTTTGAATGCATATTTATGGGACAAAACATGATAGTACATATATAATATATAAATGTTATCAACATTTTTCAGAATATTTGTTCTTATTAGTTGAGATAACACATGGCATGGGCGCTTAAGATGTGAATTTATTTCCATTACAAAGACAGCGATATCCTCTGTTAATTAGTGTTCCTCCATGCATGAAACAATCATTTTTTTAGGATAGAAATAATCATATATATTACACTACATTGAATTGGTGTTGCAAGATTAATGTTCAGGTGTACTATAGTAACCGGACGGAGATGAGAGAGTCTCTTACGTACTAACAAATCTTGCACCTTTGGTGTTTGTTGTGCAGTTGGAGACACCAGCTTCACCAAAGTTGCAGATGAAATGGTTCAGAAGGTTTCATCTTTAGGTGAGCATATTGCATATGTACGTTGCAACATGAATAATCGCGTGTACGTACATATTGGTCCGCTAATTACTCATCAGCTCGAAGTTAATTAAGCTCTTAAGGGATTAAACAATTCATTGAAGTTTGATCTCATCATTATTATTTCCAGGTCTAGACAGAGCAAGATGGCAGCAGCAACAAACACTTGACGTAGCAAAGCTAGAAGGTATATATGGCATGCATATTGAGATCTGCAAGGAAATATTAGTATATTTATAGTTGATTAATTATCTTATGTATGGTAGCTTCCATTGTAAACTCTGCCTTGATTTGTAGTATTAACCATGTGTACTTCATTAAATTCAGATTCCGTTGTCGGGACGAGTGACGAGTTGACCGGCCACGTCGATGCGAATAATGAAGGTAACTAAATACTACTAATCTTTCTGCAGAATCAAGGTTAATTTATTTTTTTAATTTTTCCAAGACTGATCGCACGTGATGTGCACACAAAAGTTTCAATCGCAATCAAGGAGTCAACGAATCGATGCAGTAAAAAAAATCTCAATTTTCATTCCTTTGATTATAAACAAATGAAAGTGTACTGTACAATTGACTTGTTTGTATCGTCAGATCTTCAGATACTTGACAATAATTATGAAATCCGATTAATCGATAATAACTTTTAAACACGCATTTAATTGTTCATCCTATCTAAAAAATACATAATTATCGTTGTGACTTATTCTATCACTAAAAGAATTTTAAATATGATTTATATCTTAAGTGTTTAGCACAAAATTTTTTAAAAAGATAAAATGATCAAATGTGTACCCGTAAGTTAACGGTATGATGGGTTAAAAATCGGAGGAAGCTGGTTTCACTTGGTGCTTTCATGTTGACTCTGAAGTTTAATTTCTACATACCGTCGTAAATATATATATAAGAATTAATTCTGAAACCGATCCATGATGCGGATCATTTATATTTCAATATGTTTTGCAGATTCCAACCAACCAAACCAGCAAATCCTTGCCATGAGCAGGTCGAAAGACAGCCGTTTGATAAATTCAGGTATGCAATTAATCTGCATTTTCCAGATAACAAACAGTATCGTGATCACGTACGATCTTATTACTACTGTGATTGATCTATAATCACTAGCTAGCTAGCTGATCGATCGATGCATCCATGCAGATGTAGCTGCAGCAAAGACGAGCCACTTAAGCTGCAACTTCAGCAGCGCGCACATGGACACCTGCGCCATGGACGGCGACATCCGCATCCACGGCCGGAGCGGCGTCGTCTACGTCGTCGCGTCGTCGGACTACCGGCCCGAGAACGCCACGGCGGTGATCCGGCCGTACCCGCGCAAGTGGGAGCAGGCGACCATGGAGCGGGTCCGCCAGATCACCATCCGCTCCACCGCGCCGCCGGGCGCCGCCGTCGCGGACACGGACGGCGGCGGCGCCATCATCCCGCTGCGGTGCACGGTGGCGCGGGACATGCCGGCGGTGGTGTTCTCCACGGGCGGCTACAGCGTCAACTTCTTCCACACCATGAACGACATCCTCCTCCCGCTCTACATCACGGCGCGCGAGCACGGCGGCCGCGTCCAGCTCCTCGCCGCCAACTACGACCGCCGGTGGACGGCCAAGTACCAGCACGCCCTCGCCGCGCTCTCCATGTACCCCGTCGTCGACCTCGACGCCGACGCCGCCGTCCGCTGCTTCCCGTCGGCCCGCGTCGGCGTCGAGAGCCACAGGGTCCTCGGCATCGACACCCCCCTGACGGGCAGCAACGGCTACACCATGGTCGGTTTCCTCGCCTTCCTCCGCTCCGCCTACTCGCTGCCGCGACACGCCGTGACGCGCACGACGCCGCGGCGGCCGCGGGTGGTGATGGTGCTGAGGCGGAAGTCGAGGGCGCTGACGAACGAGGCGGAGGTGGTGGCGGCGGTGGCGGAGGCCGGGTTCGAGGTGGTGGCGGCGGGGCCGGAGGAGGCCGGCGACGTGGCGGGGTTCGCGGCGACGGTGAACTCGTGCGACGTGATGGTGGGCGTGCACGGGGCCGGGCTCACCAACATGGTGTTCCTCCCGCGGAACGGCACCGTGGTGCAGATCATCCCGTGGGGCGGGATGAAGTGGCCGTGCTGGTACGACTACGGCGAGCCGGTGCCGGCGATGGGGCTCCGGTACGTCGAGTACGAGGTGGCGGCCAACGAGACGACGCTCAGGGAGAGGTACCCCATGGACCACCCCGTGTTCGCCGACCCCGTGTCCATACACCGCAAGGGCTTCAACCACCTCTGGTCGACGTTCCTCAATGGCCAGAACCTCACCTTGGACGTCAACCGGTTCAAGGCGGTCATGGCGGAGGTCTACACGTCGATCACGGCGGCGCCGGTTTAAAAGAGATAGATTGCACAAGATGATTTTTTTTTTCTACTCTTCTTAATTGGCTTTTGTTTTGCTCTTTGTTACCCAAAGGTAAATTACTCACTTCAGTATAAAAACAAGTTTTGAAAGCTGATTTCTGTTGCAAAGTATCCCAAAGGTAAATTGGATGTCGGTAGTTATTATCGTCACAGTCAATTAGCAATTAACAAACTTTGTAGGTGAAGAGTCGGTTAGAAAAACATATTGACGCTAGCTCGATCAGCAAAAAATGCAAGCCCATCCCTGCCTCCTTGCACCGCCCCAGCTCGGTTAGCCTCTGAGCAAGTTTAATAGTATCGCCGACTACTAGTTCCCACTAGTACAGAACATGTCATAGGTGCCGGTTGGGAAGTGCCAATAGGTGCCGGTTTCCCGGCCGGTTCCAATTGGTCAGCACAAATACATGGAACCGGCACCAATAGGTTAAATAGAACCGGCACCTATTATGTCTACCCGAGCCAAAAAAAAAAAAAACTTCGGCTCGAATCGAGCCGAATCCCGAGCCAAATCCAGAACCCCTCCACATCCCGTAATCCCTCAGATCCAGAACAATATCCCACATCCAAAATCAAAATCACATCAATAACAACGACAATTCCTTCTTGGTACACATCAATATCCCCACATCCAAAAGAAAAATCACGTCAATAACAACAACAATTCGTTCTCGGTACACATATGAACAAGAGAAACATGAACATGAACACACACATATGAACAAGAGAACATAAACATGAACATGAACATACACATATGAACATCCGTGGTGCGCCGCAGCTGCCACCGCCGGCAGCCGCCTCCACCTCCGCCGCCGGCAGCCACCTCCGCCTTCGCCTCCGCAGCTACCACCGCCGGCTACCGCCTCCTGCCCCCTCACACCAGATCTGAGCCGGGGAGGGAGATAGACGAGAGAGAGCGCCGGGGAGGGGGAGGGGGAGGGGAGGGCGCCAGAGGGTGAGGTGGAGGAGGAGGGGGCCGCCGCAGCTGCCACCGCCGGCAGCCGCCTCCGCCGCCACCTCCGCAGCTACCACCGCCGGCTACCGCCTCCGCCACCCACTGCCTCCCGCCCCCTCATGCCAGATCTGAGCCAGGGAGGGAGAGAGACGAGAGAGCGCCGGGAGGGAGATCGAGACGAGAGAAAGACGGGGATGGGAGGCTTATTCGAGAAGGGGGTACAAGACTACAAGTAGATAAGGATGGGAGAGATACTCGGCTCCGGCTTCGGCTCGGCTCAAAGCTATAGGTGCCGGTTCTTTAAACAACCGGTACCTATAATATATTATAGGTGCCGGTCCTTTAAATAACCGGTACCTATAATATATTATAGGTGCCGGTTATTTTAAAAAACCGGCACATATAGTATAGGTGCCGGTTATATATTTTTTTCACCGTGGGAGGTGGGAAAAGCTCTATAGGTGCCGGTTTTAAATGAACCGGCACCTATGAGCCGGTCCCTATGAGGGTTTTTGTAGTAGTGTCCAAATCGCATATAGTCAACTTAATAGCCAATTCATACAATAGCTACGTACTACACTATTAATACCCGATCCCACCTGTCGTACACACATTGCGTCTTGGAGTCTGTACTACAGCTAGCTATAAATCTATAGCCCGCTGCTCTTCTCTCTCCTCTATTATCTCCTTAAAATATGTTTATAGCTGGCTTATAGCTAGCCTGCTATTGTACCTGCTCTAACTCCACATGCTACCCTTCTGGCACTAGTACAGAAGTGCATATCTGTGATGGCCTATCCCGTGTTTGGTTTATCACACCGTCACATCGCGTCATCTTTAACGGGCCAAAATAAACATCGACACGGATATACTCGTACAAGCATATTCCATGACCATGTATTGCAAGCCCGTCATCAATGACACCTATCAGTGACGGGCTTAAGTTTCAGCCCGATAAAGATAATCTTTGTCGGGCCCAAACCTAACCCCGTCACCGATATGAATCATTGACAGGCTCTAACTTAAGACCAATGAAGATGACTATTTATCTCGTCACGGGCTCAGTTTTAGGCCCGATGGAGATAACTGTAAAACCCGTCACTAATCTTCATTTGTTGACTGTTGCCGATAATTTATTGCGCACTATAAATACTCTAACCCGCCTAAGGAATGGTTATCCCACTGTTCACTATTTTGGTGGGAGGTGTTGGGGGTGATTTTTTGTCTGTTTTTTTCAAAGAAAAGCAGAAAAATCAAAAAAGTAATTGAAAATTAGTAAACAAATCCCATAAATTTAGTAATACTTATCTTCCAAAATTATTATCTAATATTTGTTCACTTTTGCAGCAATGGATCAAAGTTGGATGTATCGAACTGTGCGACATAGCATAGAGTATAGAAATGGCGTTTCAAATTTTATAAACGCCGTGGAGGAGGACAGGAAAAGAAGAAACATCGAATACATGAGTTGTCCATCTGCAGATTGCAGAAAAGACAAGATGTTTGATAGCAGAGTGGACGTACACGCTCATCTGATACGTCGAGGATTCATGAATGGCCACACATGTTGGGTGAAGCATGGAGAGCAAGAATCAGTCGACGATGTTGCAGGTGTAGGCATTAGTAGTGCACAAAATCAAGAAGATTAAGATGACCATGACATGTTTGTACATTCTCCATTAGGCGGTGAAATGTAGGCCTGTCAACGAGCCGAGCTCGAGCGAGCTTGCTTGTCTGAACTTGAGCTCGGTACAGACTCGAGTCGAGCCCGAGCCGAGCCTCGTCAAGTCTCGAGCTTTCAATCGGGCTCGGGCTCGGCTCGTTCGAGCTTCGAGCTTTTTCTCGAGGTTGGGGTAAATAGCCGCAGCACGTGAGCTTGTACTAGTACTACTACTACCACGCACAAGCAGCATGCAAGAGCTTGTACTACTAGCACAAGAAAAATAATACACTGATAGAGATGCACATAAATCTACCGTGCAACTTTTTACTGGGGAGTGTGCTAGTGCTAGTACTACTCGTAGGCCTTTGAAGAAGTAATGGCCGGTGTGAATAATTTAATAAGAGTAAATTTCACAAAACTACAGATACTATGACCAAACTATCATAAAACTATAGATTTAAGGAGTTGTATCATAAAACTACACATTTAGCACCAAATTTATCACAAAACTACACATTTAAGATGAAGTGTTACAAAACTACACGTTTAATAACTAAATTATAATAAAACTGCAGGTTTAGAACCAATTTAATCACAAATTATTTATAATGTTTATAGCTCCACCATAACAATAGTGCTAGGATTTAAACTCTAAAAGTTGTAGTTTTGTGATAAGTTCAATATTAAATATGCATTTTTGTGATACTTAACCTAAAATATGTAATTTTGTGATAAATTTGGTGCTAAATGTGTAGTTTTGTGATACAACTCCTTAAATCTGTAGTTTTGTGATAATTTGGTCAAAATACCTGTAGTTTTGTGAAATTTACTCATTTAATAAAGATAGACATGGGCATTGTAGCACTCCAATTTTCATTCGGGATTAAAAATCATTTCTAGAAATTATATTAAAAGTTAAAGCAATTTAATCAAGTGAAATAGTGAGGGAATTAAAAATTTCCTTTAAAAATAAGGCCAGGAATATTTTGTAATATTCTTTGTGCCCTAATGAACTCAAATTTCCCACGAATTTTCGAAGCTCGAGAAATAATTTAATTAGCACAAAGTTCATTGAACCCATTTAAATAAAAAGAAAAACCAAATAAAATCCCTCTCCTCCTCCCTTTGGGCTCGGCCCAGTCCTTCCTCCCCCTCGGGCCAGCCTCCCTCCTTTCTCCTCTCTCCTTCAGGTCGGCCCAGCTCACTCCCCTCCCCCTCCGAAGTCCACATAACCCCCCTTTTCTCCCTTTGGCCGACATGTGGGATCCGAGGTCCCTTATGTCAGCTTACTCCCCAACCTTCGGCCTCCCCATTCAAACCGCCATGGCCGCCCCGTGCCTCCCACGTCGGCGCCGATTCCGGCCCCTTCCCGCTCTCCCGCCCGCGTCCAACCGTGCGGGCGCACACCCCTCCACCTCCTCCACCATTCCCCCCCCCACTCTCCCGTGAAAATCGAAGCCAAACCGCCCCACTCACCCATGTCGCCGGAGTCCCACTCCGTTCGCCTCTCCCGGCCTCTCCCTAGCCCCCCGTCGCCCCGAGCCCTATAAATCCATCCCCGTAGCCTCCTATCTCTTTTTCCCCAATTCCCCGAGCTCCCCGCGCCCTCTTCACGCCGCTCCCCATCGCCGCCGCTTGTTGGCGACCTTCAGCCGCGCGCCACCGCCGCTTTAGCCACCGTCGCGCTGTGCCGCCATCACTGCTGGCATTGCCGTGCCGAGCTCCACCCCAGCCTCCACTCCTTTTTCCCCTTCCGTCCCGAAGCGCCATTCTCACCGCGCAACACGAAGCCGCCGTCTCCACCTTCCCGTCACCGCCACTTCAACCATCGCTGCGGCTCGCCGCTTGCACCATTCGCTTCACCACTACGCGGGCAAGCTCGGCCTCCACTCCGTTTCTCCATTCCATTGCCGGAACCACCACCCCACCGCCAACCCAAACAACCACCTCCTACACCGCGCTCTAGCCGCGCCAAGCCGCCTGTCCAGTCGACCCCGCACTGCGCCGTCGCCTTCCCCATCGTCCGCAGCCTGGCCAGCCCTCCTCCGCCTCCAGTCGTCGCCGGAACTCAGTTCCTCTCACGCACCAGTGAGTTCCATCATCTCTACCTCCTCCGGCCAGCGATTTCAACCGTCTCGAGGCACCTATTCCCCTCCTAACCCCTCTATCACGATCCCCAGGTCGCATCCACCCTCGTCCGCTGCTTCCCGCTCGCGGAACACCGCCGGATCGTCATTGCCGAGCCATCCCGACAAGCTCCACCGCCTAGTCCCCGCCGCCAGCCACTCCCCGCACTTCCTCGCCGGCCCGCACGCTCGGTGAGCTCCCCATCCCCCTCCATGCCCTCCTCCACCGCTCCCCGTGCTCCCCGTGCTGCCCGCCGCAGCTCGCTGCCGGTGGCCTTTGGGCCGGCGCGTCGCTGCCGCGCCGCGGTGTGCTCAGCCGGCCGGTTGGCCGCCTCACTCTCGCCGTGGCCGCCCGATCCCCCTTCGGGGCGATCTGGGCCGTCCACGTGTTGCCCTGGCGCCGCCT